CTCTCTCTCTCTCTTTTCGTCACGCTTCGTCTTCTTTCATGATGAATTCAGAAAAGTTGACTATAGTGTTGGTGCATCCGGCCAATCGCATGGAAGAATCTATTTGCACACGCGAAATTGTGGTCCTACTTTAACGTTTTTAAAAATAGTTTGTCATGTGATATGGAAATAAGAATTAATAAAAGCGCGGTTGTTGAAACGCAACAACTATGAACTATTATTAAACAAGATACAACGAATGTTTCAGCCGTAATTCCGGGCCCTCTTCGTTTGAGAAAGGCAAAGAAAACAACGAAAGATACAAATTACATAGATAAAAAATTAAAGTTTAAAAATAAATTTATTAAACAGAACAGACTGGACTTACGAACACGCAGCATCTCTACCGAATCGAAATCTTATTTTCGCCTTGTTTTCACTTGTACTATTACGATTTTTGCTACGGTGAAAAAAGAAGACGCGCTCGATATTACCGGTGACTTGTTATCGAGACTTTGCCTCCCTACTTGGCGCGAGCAGAGTTGTCAGTGTGAAGAAACTCTTATCTCGGATAAATTATCGAGAAATTCTCGAATTCGGGTTTTTAAAGCCTAAGGCCCGGCCAAGCACCGAAAAGGAGATGATGGATCAGCTCTTTCCTCGAGCCCCTTCTTTTAACTTGTCCTTTTTTCCCTCGTTTCTGAGACGGCCATCAAACCCAAAGGAGCAGAAAGAGCATGGAGGACACGAAAGAAGGAGGGAGAGAAAAGAGAGAAACGAAAGCATAAAACTGCTGGACTACCTCTACCTGCCAAGGCTCCACCACAAGGTACTGTGCGATCCTCTCTGTCAATGGCGTAGCATCGTCGATTATCGATTCAATTCTTTAAAAGTGAAAGGATTTAACAAGGGTTGTTAAAATTTTAACAACTTTTTGTCATATTTTAGCAATGTGTTGACAAGCTAGCTGCGAGATGTTACGCTGCATAGGGAAAAACGTCACAAGTTTAGATTCTTTTATCTGACTGAAAGATCTTTCGGCTTTGAATTCGTCGCTTTTCGCGTAAGCTTGACAGTATATGGAGGAATAGAGTGGGGAGGAAGGTCGTAGAAAGCGAGAGACAGGACAATGCGCGACGGAAGCTGCGAGAGGTTCTATGGGTCCATGGTACATGGCTTCATAGCTCCGTGTCCACAATGTTTATCGGCTCTTTCGATGTAAATTATGACCATACGCTATTACGGTTCGCTACACCACAGTGCGCGCAAAAGTTATCCCCGAAGTTACCTCTGAATCCAAAATCGGATCCTTGACCAGAGTTGGGAATAATATTTGCGCGTAAATTTCAATGGACTACATCTATGCGTATGTACAATGTGAAACTATTTCTATCACATAACTTGTGTGTGTGTGTGTGTGTGTGTGTGTGTGTGTGTGTGTGTGTGTGTGTGTGTGTGTGTGTGTGTGTGTGTGTTGTGTGTGTGTGTGTGTGTGGGGTCAAAATAATAAAACGTGAATATAAAGCTATTAATACACAGATAATATTGAATTGATTCATAAGTGCCGTTGTAAGAAATTTTAATATTAAAATTAACGGTACTTATTTATGAATCAATCCAATACAAGTATTATACATTTTGCAGCAACTTCTAAAAATATCTTCTAATGGTTTGAAATTTTTACTTGAAAAACAAATTTTCCATCACACTGTGCTATGTAGATCTAATTATTGTGTAAATATTGAAACTTCAAAACTGCTTAAACTTTCGTGATTTACATGATGCTCAAATACGGTTATAAATATTTGTTCGCAAATTACGCAGCGATATAAAGCACAATATTAGATTAAGGAAAGATAAGTTTAGTTTTCCAACACGCAATGTTGCAACGAATATATAAACAAAATTGTTCTTGGGACGTGAATCGCCGATGGCAGTAATGGGATGATTACATGTGTACGTTATACAAGACCACATACTTATTAGCGAAACAAAATATTTACAACCCACACATCTATGCGTACGCGGATTTATTATAAATAATGATCACAATAATCACCACTGCAAGCCTCGAGATGTTTAACCATTCTTTCTCACAAAACTTCACATTTAGATTTTTTACTAATTATTATAGTAAATCAGCAATTTTTTATAATTATTTTTGAATTAATCAATTGGTCAACTTGATGTGTTTATTAATCTATCCGATTATGACATCACAATATTATAATTACTATAATTAGAAGCAATTAAGTAATTCTTGCATGTTATTTGTCTTTCAAGAGACGTTAGAAGATAAGATAAGATTAATTATCGAGGTTCTGAAAAGATCTTCGCTGATTGTTTTATTATTGTATACAATAAATATTCATGACTGCTCATCGCGTGTTATAAATTGCTGTGCCAGATCTTCGTTACGACGCATCTGGATTCGATGCATGTGACATTTTCAACGTACGATCTTTTAAAGGCATCTTAATCCTCAAATGTTCTTTTTAACTGTCGTTAAGGTTCGATAAAGGTTATAAATATTATCGTATACGGTAAATATTATTTTTTTTAAATGATCAATAAAAAGATGTAATTATAATAAACGCTTCTTGAAAGACTTATTTGAATAAATCGTGCAATGATATCCGGTTGCTGATAAATAAAAAATGGATAGATGTTATTGTAGTATATTATTACCCGGAATGTAACATTATTGCAAAAATGTTTTTTACCAGGATAGATGGAAACGTAGATTAAGCCGGAATACATTGAGATAATTATTAAAGAATATTAAATATTTACGCAATATGTTGCAGGCGGAAGAATAGATATAGTTCAATAAGCATTCGAACATAATAGAATAAGAATTGATAACTAAAAGATAGTAATCGAGATTGTAACATAATAAGTCCTGGTTATGTCGATATAGAAAATACTAATGCGAAAATACCAATTACCGACGTTGTATGTTAATGAATCACGCAAGAAAATCATATAATTACGAATCGACTCGATTTTTCACTCACGCAATATTTTATATAGATTTTCTAAAAATATATACTATAAAAGTGGTGGCTTTAAATAACAGTGAAGCGTTATTAGGCAAATAAAGCAACGTAACGAAACGAATATGTCAATCGATAAATATAGCAAACATACCTTTGAAAACGTAAATTTGAGTGTACTTTTCATACAAAAATTATAAAATTTAATAAAATTTCATGAAATTAAACAAAAAGTGTATTATTATCACGATTCTTAAAACCGAGAAATTTATTTACTACTAAAATAAGATTATATTCAGTGTACAACTTTTACTTTTTACACTAAAATTTATATACGATTATATAAATTGCGTCATAGACGCAAAGTCTGAGAGACCTGTAATTTTCATATAACATTAATGCGCAAAATCTGCATATCTTATTACGATTTTCATATATTCTTATACGCCCGAGGCACGCTGAATCACACCCACACGGCTCCTGGACATCATCGTATAAAGATTTCTACTAAGAACTTGTAATTGCCTAATCGCTTAGATATTAAACGCCGTGAGAAATAAGCCAACGAAATCGCAACGCCTATTCCGTCCTCTTTGTAAAACAATCGCATCGCCGACATAAATCTTGCATTATAGTGAGTGGCAGGTGCGTACAATTAAGTACACCTCAGAATATAAAATATCAAGGTCTATTTTAGAGCCTCATTATTGCCGTCTTACAATGCGGACAAGACAATTGCGGACGCATCTCACGACAATGTCGGTGATATTTTATTTCGCTGGTTCGTCGTCGCGAGAGAGCCGATACAGAAAATTAATTAGTACATCTGCGCCGCGATATGATCAAGGATGTGCGCAAATAGGTTGTCACTTAGTGTTCATTTTATCAAGCCGTATATCAAGCCGCCGCTATCGCGAGCAGCGGCAATTAAAAGATTTCTATACGCGAAATTTCAGAAATAGACGCGAGAAACAAAAACTACGGACGGAAGCCGCGCGATAGAACGCGTCGATCGATCGATTATCGTCCTCGAATCGTACCTGCGGCACGCTCGAGTGAAAAACACGAGGTGCTGATGCGGACGAAACAGTACTCGCGCGCGCCTTTTCCCGACGAGGTCGAAGTAGACGCGTAGTGCCCGTGTGTTCACAGGTAGTGCAAAAATGGCGCGATACGCCGAAGACGTGTACTACGAAACTGCTGTTAAATTGGCGCGCGAGGCTGCCCAGGTAAGCATTGTCTCTATTCGAAAGAAAGTCCCGTCGTCACTCGACCAAATCCAAAATGCGTAAACGTCAAGATCGTTCATCACTGCGACATTAAAAAAATACAGCTTGATATACGCTTATTTGAAGATGACGTGAATGCGATTGTGATTAATGCCAGATGCGAGATTTAATAAATCGGCTTTATTAAGATATAATATTTCAGATAATTTCTTAAAACGCGTATTAAGGCTGCGTTCGGGGAGCGCGCTATCAGCGCTATTGTGTCCTTGTTTTATGTCTAATTAACGATAAAGATAAGTGCCGAAAGATCTCACGTGTTACAAAGTGTCCGTTTTGAAGGTTTCAAAAATAATGATATAGTCACCGCTCGTCATTCCGATATTTGGTCTTAGTGAATTTTTAATGGAGTTTTGTGACTGATGAAGGTCGATTTACATTTATATAAATCAAAATTGATAAATATCAAATATAATTTAATAAACAATTCGGAAACAAAATAAAGGAAGATAACGTGAGCATTCGTTCGCGATATAAGAAAAGTCTATTCAATTTCCTGAGACGCGACGATAAATGATTATCCTGCCGCGAACATCTTTCCATACTCGAAGCAGAAAAAACAGAATGCATATCATGAATTAAACAATTTATAATCTCTAAGACTTGAAAATTATGTGCGTTTGAAACATTTATAGCGCATTTTCCTCGAAGATATGATAATCCTTTTGTATCGCAATACGCTGTATTTACATTACTTTCCATTTTACGCGATGCTCTATATTTTTGATATAACAACCTGACGCATCGCTTGTTAAATACGAATTATTCTTCAAGATTATTCGGAACTCCATCGATGGCCTCAAACATATCGATGAGAAATTGGGCGACTGGGATCTCGTCACTGAATACGATCGGAAGATAGAAGATGTTATCATTGGCAAACTTAGACGCGCGTTTCCGGATCACAAGTAATACTTTCTGAATCTTTTTTCCTGTCTCGCAATACCGTAAAGTGGAAGAATCGATAATCAGGACGTTGTGTGCATCAGATTTATCGCGGAGGAGTCGACTGGTAAAGAGCTGCCGGAGCTAACCGACGCTCCGACGTGGATCATAGATCCTATCGACGGCACCACAAACTTCATCCATGGATTTCCGCACACATGTGTGGTTATCGGCTTGGCCGTGAAAAAGGAGATGGTCCTCGGCATCGTGTACAATCCTATTCTCGAGCAGCTGTTCACGGCTAGGAAAGGACGAGGCGCGTTTTTGAACGGGAAGCCGATCCAGGTGTCCAAAGTTCAAGGTAATTTGTCTCCGCGATTTGATGATGCGATAAGACGTGCGAACGCAGATGAGTTAAGAATGTAAATTACACATAATGCATTCCTTCGCGGTAACAAAAGATTCCCAATCAGTCTGAGAATCGTGAAACGGGAGATAATTTTCATGCAATTATATTGCGCCGATGATGAGTGAAAGTAAAGTCCTTCGACAGGAGAAAATAAAAATAGAATATATTTATAGATACGAGATTATTGTCTCTTTATCTGACGTGTCGCAATACATTATGTAAATAGTAAAAAATCGAAACTACAACTAGAAAATGTGTCGCAAGGACAAAAACCAGCCACACGTGAATATTAGCTGTTTTAAGACGTTATATATATATA